GCCTCTGTCTGCCTGTTATTGTGTCTGGGAGATCTAGATCAATGCCCTACAACCCACAGAATAGGAACTACTCAATCAGATTCGTGTCTGTCTGGATATGACGTGGTGAGTGTTTCCCCTCCCAGCAAGATAGCAGTGCTTAGCAATGTGTAAAATAACAGCCTCCATAGACCATCCAGTTCTCTGACCTTTGCAGTCCCTCACTCCCATTTACTTCCCCATCCCCACTTGCGGCCTAAATCTGTAATGCACGTTCAAACCTTAATACCATATATAATAAAACGTTACTAGACTTTTACTCCAGGAGTTTGGAAATTCTAGAGAAATTCTTAAATAATGCATTACAATGTAACTAAACCCATTAGATTTTAGTTGACTAAAATGTACTCGAAATTTTAGAGGAGTAAAATAAGAATAAAACTAAAACAATTCAGGTGACTAAAATACAACTAAAACTAAAATTGAATTTTAGTCAAAAGACAAAGTCTAAAACAAAGTCGAATTTTGACATCAAAGTCACCACTGGTTGCAAGGGCTCACCAGATAATTTTCAGTGTTGATGCTTACATTGCAACAACTCCACATGCATATTGTCTAGGTCTACACACCCTGCTTGGTCTCCTCCAAGTGCTCTACACAGATCCAGCATGCTGAATGCCACAGACTACCACCTTGTGTTGCCTTACATACAACCATACCCGCACCCTGACAAGCTTTGGCCAATGGATCAGGCTTTGCACCAATCGCCAATTGGTAAAGATTCCGAAATAGCCCTATTAATATAATCTCTTTACAAATGTAAGAACAGCAATTTAAAGAAAACCTCACTTTTGGTAAAATTGTCTTTTAAAGGTTTGCTTAACAGTATAAGCCACTCGTGGTGGCCCCAGCCATTTAGGAATGTATAGTCCCAGCTATAGGAAAGAGTGGGGCGAATAGAGTGCATGCACAGTAGGCAAGAAGAACTTTGAAGCAAGGCTGAACATAAGCACTTAGACATGTGACTTACACTGATGGAGGTGTGAGAAAACATCTCTAAAAGTGAAGTATCCTAAAATCTGCCAATTCTCTGTAAAGGTTTTTTAGTACATTCTCCAACTGCCATCTGGATGGATTTTTGTTATTTCTAAAGTTCCCGCCAACTTTATTTTGCAGTTGCCCATGTATGCACTAACAAAAAAAACCCTTTTAGAAACATGCAAGTTCTCTTCTGGTGAACTTTTTTTTTATATACCTTTGTGTCTATACACATGAGTAGGCGCAGGGCATCACATTTTATTGGGAAAACATGGTGCTCAAGTTTGCACACTGCAGAATTAGCCAAGGTTATTGGGGAGCCTACAAACATTGGATTAAATGTCATAATATCTACGGGGCTTTTTCAATGATGAGCATTCAGTAGGAGTCCACAAAATATTAAAAAACTTGTTGAATAGTGACGTAACCCTCCAAACTCGGCTTAGATTTACAGGCCTTTTTTGAGTTCCTGTGCTGCAAAGGCATATCATTAGAACACCAATAATACTGACTACGCATTTAAAATATGTTTCAATTTAGTAAATGAATGCTTATCACAGCTGAACATTTACCATACAAATTAGTAATTAAGTGTGAGCTGATGAATTTTCAAGGTGCAACCAAAGCTGAACATCTTCTTATAAACAAGCACAAAATATGATAAATTAGATAAAGTTAAATGATTCATATGCCTTCTCTTCAAAAAAAAGAGAAAGAATATGTTAATTGCTTTACTTGCTAATGACAGCAATAATCACTTTACAGTGATCCAGCAATGTGTTTGCAATGTTTTGCACAGGATTGTTGCTTTGTGGCTTTTTATCACATTCTAAAGAACATTTGTGTTACAGTCAAAGTCTAGCTTAAAAAAAATTCTACAGCTTTACTCACATCACTTACCTGCAATGAAGTATGTCTCATGTTGTGCAGGCACCTGGACCCTGGAGAAATCTTCACTGTAGGGATGCCTGTCCTCTTCCTGTCTCTGAACGTCCGGCACTCATGGGTTAACATCTTCATGTCTTCAGGCAGAACAGCAGTACATATGGTCCAATGGGAACTTAACCCCGCCTTCATCCTCCTTCTTCAATGAGAAAAGTCATTGACTGCCTGTAACATGATCTGTGAATGGGGAAGGAAATGACAGAATCCTCTGACTCATTAGACTCTGCTCCATTCACAGATCATGTTACAAGCTGTGTAATCAGTGAAAGAACTTTATTCTATAGAGAAGGAGGAATGAGCTGAAGTGTCCCCATCAGATCATCTGTACTGCTGTTCTACTTAAAACCTGCTGCTCCTAACCATTGCAGCACTGGAGGTTCAAAGTCAGGAAGAGGACAGAAATCCCTGCAGTGAAGATTTCTCCAGGATCCAGATGCCTGTACAATCTGGGACATACTTTATTACAGGTAAGTGATGTGACTAAAGATGTAGGGATTTTTTTTTAAGCTAAACTTCAACTTTGAGCTCAGATCTTAAGCATGGCTAGCCTTCATGTATAGCAGTGGTCTCCAAACTGTGGCCCTTTGCCTGCCTTTATCTGGCTCTTGGGGCACTAAATCTTCCACCGACAACCAACGAAGGGGTACTATTCCATTCACTGATACCAACAATGGGGTACTATTCCTTCCACTAACACCAATGATGGGGCATTGTTTGCTACTTATGGCATCAGTCTCCCCCCCCCCCCTCTAAAACCTGAAGGGCATTAAACTGGCTTTTTGTTGGGAAAGCTTGGAGACCCGATACACAGTTGTGTTCAAAATAATAGCAGTCCGACATCACTAAACCTGATCAATCACTGTTTTTGGTAGAAATGATATACTAGCAGGTGTAGTAGAGTAATAGAAATCCAACAGACCCAACAGTCATGACATGCATGCTGCTGATTCTGTGTAATTGAATCACTAATTGAAAGGGGCATGTTCAAAATAATAGCAGTGTGGAGTTCTATTAGTGAGGCTATTCACTTTTTGAAAAACAGGTGGCAATTATTGCCCTTATTTAAGGAAGGAAGGCAGCAAATGTTGTACATGCTGGTTACAGTGCATTTCTCTCTGAAATTCTGAGGAAAATAGGTTGTCCCAGACATTGTTCAGAAGAACAGCGTACCTTGATTAAAAAGTTGATTGGAGAGGGGAAAACATATAAAGAAGTGCAGAAAATGATAGGCTGCTCAGCTAAAATTATCGCAAATGCTTTAAAATGGCAACCAAAACCTGAAAGACGTCAAAGAAAGCGAAGAACTACCATTTGAATGGATAGAAGAATAGCCAAAATTGCAAGGACTCAGCCAACAATCAGCTCCAGGAAGATCAAAGAAGGTCTAAAGTTACCTGTGAGTACTGATACAATTAGAAGACACCTATGTGAAGCCAAGCTATCTGCAAGAAGCCCCCGCAAAGTCCCACTGTTGAAAAAAAGACGTGCTGAAGAGATTACAATTTGCCAAAGAGCACATTGACTGGCCTAAAGAGAAATGGCGCAACATTTTGTGGACTGATGAAAGTAAGATTGTTCTTTTTGGGTTTAGTGGCCGGAGACAGTTTGTCAGACGACCCCCAAACACTGAATTCAAGCCACAGTACACTGTGAAGACAGTGAAGCATGGTTGCGCAAGCATCATGATATGGGGATGTTTCTCATACTACGGTGTTGGGCCTATTTATCACATACCAGGGATCATGGATCAGTTTGAATACATCAGAATACTTGAAGAGGTCATGCTGCCTTATGCTGAAGAGGAAATGCCCTTGAAATGGGTGTTCCAACAAGACAACGACCCCAAACACACCATTAAACGTGCAACATCTTGGTTCCAGACCAACAAGATTGATGTTATGGAGTGGCCTGCCCAATCCCCGGATCTTAATCCAATAGAAAACTTGTGGGGTGACATCAAAAATGCAGTTTTTGGGGCAAAACCAAGAAATAGAGAAGAACTGTGGAATGTAGTCCAATCATCCTGGGCTGGAATACCTGTTCACAGGTGCCAGAAGTTGGTTGACTCCATGCAACACAGATGTACAGCAGTTCTCAGAAACAGTGCTTATACAACTAAATATTCATTAAGTGATTCAAAGGAAAGCAAAATCTTCAAACATTTTTCAGTTTATATAGTGAATGTTTGAGTTTGTAAAGAAGAATACAAACATTGCTATTTTTTGAACAGTCTAATATTCACTTTTCTTCAATTGTTTTAGAGTAACAACACAAACTTGATATATTTTTCTTCATGTTTTGATTTGGAATAGAATGTGTAGTGTTCCCAATAGATTTGTGTGTATTGAAATAAAAGCTATAAGAAGGATTTTGAGCTTTATTCACTTTTTTCAACACACTGCTATTATTTTGAACACAACTGTATGTAGTATAGTCATATTATGTAGCACTTTAAATATATCCCTGAAGTACCCATATCTCCTAAAATTGACATATTATATATAATTGCTACAAACATGTGTCATTTTATTTACATTCCAGTTCAAGTTGTAATGTAAAAAATATAGGTATCCCAGCACTGGTAAACATAATAAAAAGATGCAGAGAACAGCATTGATGTCATCACAACAGCAATGTTCTCTGTATTAAAGACTGTTGGAAAAGTGGTGAAGAGGAAAAAAAACATGCATGCCATGGGACAGGCCTCAGAATATTTGAAAAAGGTAAGTATATGCCCCCCTCCCTATAAGGAGGAGGGAGGAGGACTGCGGGGCAATAGGGAAAGGCCGAAATTGAGTTTTTTATTATAAAAAGAAATGACCTTTGCATTTTAACCTGTAGATGCTGTTATATTTTAGGCTAAGACTGCTTTAGAAAAAAATGAAAATTCTCTTCCTTGTAATATGGAAGCCGAAAAGATTTTTAGTACAGAATGCCCCTGGAAATCATATTTCCCACTTAAAGTGTTACTAAACCCAGGACCCTGCATTACTATATCTGGTCTCCTACAGTACACACAACATGGAAATGCAATTATTTTAGTAAATATAAACTGCTAAATACCTTTTCTCATCAGCAGTTAGAGCAGTCTTGTGACTTCTATCAGTGTTCAGCAGAGAACTGGTTAAAGCTTGCAGGAGAAGTTTTTATTTTGCTCTAGGAGTATGCAGAACCCCTGACCTCTGTCTGGACAGTGCTGATTGGACCTGTGCTGATCACATGCACTCTCCTAACAAAAAGGTTAACCTTTCTAGCAATACACACGCAACTGAGCATGTGCAGAGTGACTCCATGCAATATGTCTTGTCAGGAGATAAGAGGGGGACACTGGAAGAAGGGGAGGATCACAGAAATCAGGATTTTACACAATGCAGAGGACTAACCCCCTGGGTTCCACAGTGAGTATAACAGGCATGCTTTACTCCATATACAGACTGATTTTACTGTTGTGGGTATAGTAACACTTTAAGTAACTGCCTCACTACTTTTTCCAAAAACTGCACTGTGATACAGGTGATTCCATGCATCCCCCATAATAGGAACTCATCCACACCTTGGGTACACAGCTGTATGGTATAATAGTATAATGGTATGCTTGGTTGCTAAAGGTGACCACATTTTCTTCAAGACTGCTTCCCACAATTTAACCCCCACTTCCCCCCAAAACTAATTATGAGGGCTAATTCAGTTTGTGGTTGGGTGGCTTTCCAGACCAGCTGCTCAGCATTCTGATGACCTTCAGTAAGTGACTCTCTCCAGCTGTTTCCAATCCTTGTTGGATTGCTATAGTAAGACAATGGCCAACTGTAGAGTTAACACTGCACAAAAAGAGATGTATGTGTATACCTATTATTGGGCAGCACAGTGGCTAAATGGTTAGCACTTCCACCTGGCAGCACTAGCGTCGTTGGTTCGAATCCCAGCCATGGCACCACCTGCCTGGAGTTTGCATGTTGTCCCTGTGCCTGTGTGGATTTCCTCTGGGTACTCCGGTTTCCTCCCACTCTCCAAAGACATGCTGGTAGGTTAATTGGATCCTGTCTAAATTGGCCCTAGTATGTGTATGTATGAATGTAAGTTAGGGACCTTAGATTGTACACCCCTTGAGGGTTAGGGACTGATGTGAATGTACAATATATATGTGTAAAGCACTGTGTAAATTGACAGCACTATATAAGTACCTGAAATAAATATCATATAATATTTGTTTCATCTGTATACTTTCAGTAGTAATTCAATATATGATTTAGAATTGTGTATTTCTGCATTACAGAGGACAAAACTACTTTGAATATATGCCAGATGAGACTTGCTCAGTTTTACTTCCTAATGTATTTTTAAATATCCCATACAATCTATTTCACTGTCAACCTTACTTAACCTCTTACTGTAAATCAACCCACAGGGCAAGGACACCATTGCATGCACACAATATGTTCTATTTACAGACACATCTTTAATGGTTCATTGCTGCAAGATCATCAGTGGTTTCTGAAGCTGTTAACACGTCTTTGTCTTAGTCTTGATCTGTTCTTATTTTGGATTCTGTTTGTTGACGCAATACATTTTCTTAATATAATGGTCCTTGAACATGGACGCTTTCATTGCTGTCTTCTCATTCTGTAAATACTAGTCACATGGCTGTCATGCTGATCCTTTTAGTTTAATACTTTGAATCACTAGCCCATAAGTATGCAGATAAGAATTTCTAGATTTCTTGGCCCACATACTTGTTCCAAGGTAATGACCAAAACCAGTAATTCAACAAATTAGACAGGCAAGTAATGTAAATAAAGGTCCTTGATGGCTATCCCCACAAATCTTTCAGAATTATGGACTTGTCAAAGTCATCACTGATTTACATGCAGTCCTTGGTTATGTGATTTCTAGATTTAGAGCATACTGAAAGTTTTGAGATAGCTAACTAGTAATGAATTTAAACAGTCTCCCCATCTCTACAACCAAATCCGGCTGGGTGAAATGTTAGAGGGGAGGCTCCTCCGTAAGAATTCCGACATGCACCGTTTTGTAAAATAAAGATCCTTAAAAGAAGCAATGTCACCTGTGTGAGGCCTCCGCCTTTTGTAAAACACCTGTTAGAGTTACACATACAGTACACAGCACATGCACTACCCATGAAAAAAATATATCTGATTCTAGGTCCACTTTAAGAGCAACATTTGCATGTTTCAATAGAGCATGCATTTGGTGTAGCCTTTAAAATAGAAGTAGGATACTTTTATGACCTTCAGCAACAGATCTGGTCCCATTCCCAATACTATCACAATGTAGTTGACATTAAGTGAACCGTTTTATCTGAAGAAAACAGGAAGTTTGTTTAAAACTTGGCTCTTTGATAGGATTATCTGGGTACTACATTCTACCTTTATTTGTCCATTAGTGATTATCAGTTACTCTTTTATTTGAAGTAACCATGAATGTGTAGCTTTTATATTATCTATATTATGTATTTTCTTTACTATATTCAGGACATAAGCACATATATATATATATATATATATATATATATATATATATATATTTTATATATCTATCTATCTATCTATCTATCTATCTATCTATCTATCTATCTATCTATCTATATGTAACACATTGTATTTCTTTTTTTTTGGAAACCTTTTTTGCTTAAGCATATACTGATATATCACATTTCTTATCTGTCACTTCAAGTCAGTAAGTGGTCAACTTTTTAATCTATTTATTTTACCTGCGCTGTCAACAATTTGCGCATAATTTTACATATTGTACATTCACATCAGTTCCTGCCCTAAAGCAGCTTGCAATGTAAGACACCTTTGTCACATACAAGTATGTACTAGGGCCAATTTAGACAGAGGCTAATTAACCTACCAGCATGTCTTTGGGGTGTTGGAGGAAAGTAATGTGAGAACAGGGAAAAAACATTTAAACTACATGCAGATAGAGTCAGTGTTGCGATTTGAACCAGGGATCTGCACTTGTGTCCACTTCTTTTAAAGCCTCATGCACACTGGATTTTTTTGTTTCTGCTTCTAGGGGCGTCTGGAATTTTTCTGCATTTTTCTGCATCTAAAAACCCCTGTATGTTAGCTTATGAATCCATGCACACCTTTATAGGAGTTTAGAGGCAGGATCATATAAAGGCAGGAAAAAAACTCGCTGCTAATGTATCCAGTAGCAGAGGAGTCTAAATGCTCATTAACGATGGACATGTTTAGAGCTTGAGTGTTAATTATTTCAATAGCCAGAATAAATTATTATTCAGGCAAATTAAATGAATTAATGCCCAAGCGCTTGATGCGCCTAAATGCATTTACAAGCATCAAGCATTTTTTTCTGTCAAAATACCGCTGCCAGGAGAAAAGGCATCTAGGAAAGATATAAAAAATGACTGTGTGATGAGGCCTAATATTTCTGATGAGAACTACTATGCCATAAACAGCTTGTAATTTGACCTCCTGTTGCTGAACACAACAATTTCCTCTTTACTACTATGGATTATGATTTAGAGAACACTATATTATTGTGTAATTCAAGTCAAATTCTAACTAAGCCTAAACTTACTCCCATCCTCATTTTAAGACTGTTCTATCTATCCTGTAAAAGAAAAAATGTCTATACTTGCCTATTCAGAAGCTGGTCCAGTCCTAGCGCTGGCTTCAGTATAGAGGAGAGGCAGCAACAATGGTTGCAGAGCCATAGGTTTACTATGGGGTATCCGTTATCGGCGATCTCTCTGGGTTCCCATGGTTCCTTGCAGTGCCATAACTGTACTGCTGTTCTGTCTGAGCCAGAGTGAAAGAACACATCCTCAGGAACCCTCTAGATGTGCATGTTCTACGGAGGAAGCTGGCCACTGGATAGTGTAGACTATCCAGTCTGCCCATCAGTTGCTTGCTACATTCTATAAGACCTTCTTCTGCAATAGTAATCAAGCAATGGATCAGCACTGCACAGCTATAGTCTGCACCATACAATGGCCAGGAGGGAGGAACATGCTTGTCTAAAGGGATGCCAGGGGTGTGTTCTTTCACACAGGCTTATCACACATCATCCCTTACACTCTGCTTGCAGTGTATGTGGATGGGTGGGTAAAAATGGAGATAGTGAGAAAGCAGAATGAACTGTAAACACAGGCACAAAGGAATTAAATTGAATGATAGTAAAGTATATATCAGGATTAAATGTATATAGAATTTATATGAAACAGGAGGAAACAGTTGAGACTGGACACTTGAAGCATGTATGTTTGTTTTTTTTATTTTTGTTACACTTTAAAGTGATACTAAAGGCTCCTTTTTTACTGAAAATAAAAAAGTGGTTTATACTTACATGCTCTGTGCATGGATATTGCACATAGTGGTCCCATACCTCTTCTTCTGGAGTCCCCCAAAGTGCTGTCCACTCCTCCTCTTCTCTGTGTAACCCCATAGCAAGCTGTGTGGTATGGGGGCACAAGTGCAGGTGAGCTCCTAAGATGGGCTGTGTGTATATTGTGTACATTGGGGCTCAGCAAAGCCCTCTGCTCCTTCCTCACTGGATCTGACTGACAGCAGCGGGAGCCAATGGCTTCTTCTGCTTTCAGTCTGTACTGTGAGATCATGGAGAGAGACCGGCACTGTTGCAAACAGGCACAGTGCAGTATCAAGAGAACACTCAGGTAAAGGGGAAAGTTATTTTTACTTTAATGTGGTTGTAAAGGCTCGAGGTTTTTTACCTTCATGCGTTCTATGCATGAAGGTAAAAAACCTTCTGTGTGCAGCAGTGCCCACAGCCCCCTCTATACTTATCTGAGCCCCATCGCGATCCAGCGATGTGAATGACAGCCTCGGCTGTCCCGGATCTCTACCTCCTCATTGGCTGAGACAGCAAGCGGAAGCCAGTCAATCACAGCCAGTCAGCCAATGAGGGGAGAGAGGGGGCAGGGCCAAGCCGCAGCTCCATGCGTGAATGGACACACAGAGCAGCGGGTGCCCCCAGAGCAAACTGCTTGCTGTGGGGGTACCTGACACAAAAGAGGAGCCTGGAGAGCCTGCAGAGGACCCCAGAAGAAGAGGATCCAGGCTGCTCTGTGCAAAGCCACTGCACACAGCAGGTAAGTATAACATGTTTGTTATTTTACAAAAGAAAAAATGAACATTTGGTATCACTTTAATGTAGAGAATGCATTCAATTGAAAAACGTTTAACTACTTTTGGATCTACTTTAAGCCAAAAAAAGATAGCAAAGTCATCACAGACAACTGCTGCACATTTGGGATTTTATTTACACACCCACACTATGCTCTATGCCTGAGACCAGGGAAGGCAGAAGCTCCAGATACACATAAAGTACCATTGCATTTAGTGCACTTCTATCCTATGCTG